GAATATGCTTCCACCTGGAAATGGTAGGCTAAATCACTTAGCTCTGACAACTGTGGCAGACAAGGCATAGCTGTCTCTTCATGTAACTGAACAGTAAACCTCTCTGCATGAACCACAATATCAGTGGATGAAGGTAGAACCAAGTATTCATTGACAGACCTTTCATCTATCAAGGAAGGTACAGGTTCAAAAGCAACTGAGGAAGACCCAAAAAATAACACATTTGATGGACCAACTAAAGAAAAGAAACCTGATGCAACTGATCCCAAAATGGCCACCTGACAAGCCAAAAGAATAAAGGAAGGTGCAGGAAAAAGCTAATCTACAATCTCTCCAGATTGTCCAGGATTGCCCTCAATAACAGGTGTAGAGCTCCCTGGAGGAACACAACTGAACTGAATATATGTCTCCATCTCACTATGAATAAGATCACTGACAGTCAATGAGTCATACGAGTTGCATATGACTAAAGAGCACAATCCTAACACTTTTCCCACACAGTACTTCAGAGAAAAAAATATCCTTTTTTATAAAATGTTCAATGCTTCTAAACTGTTTTCATTGAGGTATGAATACTATGATTAGTAATTACTAGCACAAACAGCTTCCTGTGATATTTCTGCTAGTAAATACAATTAGTAATAAATAGTCTCAATTATGAGCAATAGGAAAAAAAACAAAAAGCTTCAAAAACCACTTTGCCAAGGTCATCAGAAGAGATGGGCAATTAACTGAATTAATAGATTATTTATGAGAACTGACTACATCGATTAATATCATGTAAAATAACTGATTAATCAAGATTATGATTAATGTCACAAAAATAATTAATCATCCAAAATTAGTGTTTCTGATTATCCAAATAATTGAAAGATTGTCATTATAATTTCTCATTATTTTTGATTAATTCATGGTTGATCAGCTTAATTGATTAGTGTCACGACTCTCAAAAATAATCAACTAATAGAATTATTGTTTTTGATTATTCCCACTACCTAAGTCTTGTGTGAGAATAATTAAATTGTTAAATATAATCAATTAACAAGCCCAACAATTAACTATCAAATCACACTAACTGCCCAGTTCTAGACATCAATTGGGTACCCTTGCTATTAGTGATGTTTTCAGCTCTTAACTCAGAAAGTGTGGAAACTTTTGAAAAAACAACAAAAACGCCTTTTCCAAGTGACAAAATGCTAGAAAAACCCACGTGTCCTTCTTAAAAAAATTACGTGTGTCCTACACATCCAACAAGATAGAACAATTTCAGGATTTTGTTTTTACTGAACACAATTCAATGCCATTGGGAACTCAGTTTTTGTTGGGAATGATATATATACCATCATTTGCTTCTAGGCTCTTAACATTTTGGCATCATAATCTTTGAACATGTTATAAACAATCAAAACTTGACATATTTTAATGTTTTATTG